AAGTTCCCCTAAAACTGAAAATAACACAAACAACATTGCCGAGTGGACCCCGATTAAGGAATGTGACGAGGTGGGGTCTTCTGGCCACACGTGCATGGCAGCCCTCCCCCTCTCAGATCAGCGACTCTCCTTCCATTCCTGCTCAACAAGGGGCTTCAGTGGCTGAGAGGCCCTGGGGTTCAGCCCCTGTTTGTCAGGACAGGCAGGGAGACCTCGGGGAGGGTCCTGGGGCCCTGGTGCTCATCTCCGGGGTAAGAGGCTGTTGGACTGAGCAGCACCTGGGCAGGTGGGACCCTTCTCTTCTACCTCAGAAGGAAAGACACTCCATCTGCCCCAGAGCACATCTGGGGTGTTGGAGGAGGATGAAGGCAGAGGGGAGGGGGCTCACATCCTCTGCCTGGGCTCAGGAAGTGGGCTGGCTGCAGGGGTCATGTGGAAGGAGAAGGTCACTGTCAGCAGAGTGGAGAGGTGGCCTCCGTCTGCCCTGTGCTCCTCCCCAGCCCCCTGCACAGCCTCACCCCAGGGTGTCTGCTTCCTTCCCACCTTCCCACCTGCTCGATTCCCTCAGCTTTCCAGGAACATGGCGTTATGAAACCAGTGGTCTCTTGAAGTCAGTCCGGGATTCTCCTCATTTCCTAAGCTCCTCTGCACATCTGAATGGACCAAATCTCCACTGGTCAGACCCCAGGAGTTGACCAGCTCAGCAAGCTGACAATCCACACCAGCTTCAGTGGCTGGTGTCAAAACGAAATCCTCAGATCATCCCAAACCTACGAAGAAGACAGGAACCATATGCTACGAAGAACAAAGGTCTGGCTGGGAAGAGTCTAGAAGGAGCCTCCGGTCTGGTCGAGAGAACCGCACCACCCAGCTGCTGCCCCGGTGGACACAGAGCTGCACGGAATCCCGGACAGCCCCCTGCTCTGCCCGTCTGCTGCTGCGGGACCCCCTGGGCGCCGTCCGCTGCTGCGGGAGGTGCTCCCAGCCCTGGCTCGGGGCGGCGGGACTCCCTGGGCTCCGCCGTCACTTGTTTTTTTTAGATCGGTTGTGTATTTGCTTGCCCATGGCTTACTTGAAAGGCTAGAAGAACAATAGTAACACAATCAGGACTAGATATTGAAAGATCTCAGACTTGTGTCTCAGACATATTTTTTAGAGACAACATACTAAAAAAGCTAGTGCTGCTAATTATAACGTCGTAATCCCCCGAGTTCTATGCACATCAAATTGTAGTCATGAAGGTGGAGAAGAAACCCTACATGATTTTTGTTTATGATATTTTTTTGGTTTCCTAATGGTAACTGTTGAGGATAAATTGTTTAAAACAGTCTGACTCAAGGGAGGTAAAATTCACACCCACAACATTTCAGAAAGTTCATGGAGACACCAAAAGGGCACGTGGGCCAGTCCACTGCACGGCCTCTGCCTGCTGGGCCCAAACTCCTCGCTCGGGCCCAGCGTGAAAACCGTGCCTCCCCCGCAGGGCTGGACACCGGGGCCGGCGCCGACCGGCCAGTGCTCCATCTGGTGTCTGTTACCCCCACTTTGCAGGGGGCAGACTGACAACAGAAAACCGTGGAAAGAAAAGTGAGGTTCTTTGGTCTCCTCCCCAAACTCTTTCTAAGTGCGGTCTTTTCCTTAGCATGTGAACCTACGCTTTTTCATCATGTACACATTCTCCCCGGTAGAACGTTGGTCATGTGAAGAACGGGTCCTGCTGAGTCCTGAAGTTCTCGCATATTCCGTCTGCGGACTGTTGGTGCCCCAGGCTTAGCCCCGGACCAGCACAGAGAAGTCCGGCCCATGCTTCATGCCCACTTCACATGTGACCCGTTGCATTACGAGCCTCAGCACAGCAGAAGCAGGAGGGTAAATTGCCTGAAAACCCACAACCAAACATAGAATTCTAGGTGCTCACCGTAACTGATTCTGAACCCTGGAGGAGGCTGGTGCAGGGTGGCTGTTTAGGGCCTCCATCAGCCCACATCATGAAGAGCTGACTTTATTTCACATAGGTTTTCAAATAGTTAAAGGCCAGTGACTTGAGAAGTTCCAATAACCTGCAAGGAGCTCTGGCCACTGGCACCATCCTACCTGCCATTCCCAGCTTTACCGGGGCAGCCACAGGGCCACAGGCAGCGCTGAGCACGGGGACCTGGAGAGGAGCCACACCTTGCAGTAGGCTGCGTAGCCAGGTGCTAACATGGTTCCCCACCTGTCCCCCGACGGGCTCCTGTCCCCTGGCACCTCTCGGTGGGCGCTGCCTCCACGAGAAGCCCAGCCAGCGTGCGTGCAGAGTGCTTTCCCGTGCAGGGTCTTTACCTGGCACATCCTCGCGATCCCGGTACGTGGTCTCCAAGAGGGGCCGGGCCTCCGGTGCCTGCAGCTCCGCCCACGTAGTGAGCGGCAGAGGAGGGAGCTGGACCAGCTCGAGTTCTTACATTCCACGTCCATCTTCGCTCTGATGTGCCTTCAACAGCAGTGAGTAAAATCGGCTCTTGCCGAGCCCGCTGTCACTGCCCAAACCTGGGAGGCCCGTCGGAGGCTGCCCTCCCGGCTCCCCCGCGGCTTCCCGGCCTCCTTGTGCGTGGCAGCGAGCCTGCGGCTCGTGCACCACGGCTGCTCACCTCCGTGCGCGTGGGTGGCTCAGGAATGGAGTGAGAGAGGGACAGGTGCCCGGTGACCAGAAAGGCGAGGCGTGCTCCTTCGCTGGGTGGCGCGGAGAGGGCGTGGGGGCTCTTAGAAGCTCAGAAACACAGCGAAAACCCGTCCCGTTTGGGACAAACGAACTGAAGATAACCCTAGGATTTAGAATGTGGAGAATTAACCAAAATTACCTAAAACTAAAATGTGGTAGGGAGGTGAAGAGCTTCACGCACGGGGGATCACTGCCGCGTTCCGCCTCTCTCACGGTTTTAGAAGGAGCCAGGAGGTGACATGGGCGTTCCGTTTCCTGTTCACGCCTCCATCCATCTCCTCCTTCCCGAGCTCTCCAGGATGATAAGACGTGTTTCTCAAGAGGAAGTTAAGAGAAAGTCATAAAAATAATACATGTGCCCTGATGGGGTCTCTTCTTTGACGCATCTTGGAAAACGCCCCCAGCTGTTGCTCGTACTTCCGTGTTTTCAAGCGTATGTATAGATTCATGTCGTGGCTGGGTCCTTGCAGGCACAGGGGCGCTGGCCTCAGAGTCACCGTCAGGGTGCAGCGGGGGCTGGCCGGCCCCCCGGGACTGCTCCTCTAGTCACAGCCCGTGAGCATAAAAGTCAAAGTGTGTAAACTGAGAGGAGAATGTAACTTTTATATTTTCAAGAATTCAGTAGAACAGAATTGCCCTCAACTCTTGCAACCTCGACCCCTCGGCCAAGGGCACAGTCTGCCTCCCACTCATACTTCCCGCGTGTTTCTGACTGTGCTCACTCGGTCAGGTTTCTTTCCTCTTACTGCTCTTGGGGAATACATGTGTCTTTATACTAAAGAAAAGGATGTATAGGAATTATCCAGAAAAGAGACAATATTTGTTTCATACAACTAGCGAAGCTCTATGAATAACATACGGCAAGCTTGACTTGCCGATACTTAGAAAGATGTGTTAGATTTTAAAAAACGTGTTGCTTCGCTATGTGGGCCAGCCAAAATTGTTATGATGTGTTGGTGCCCAAACCTCATTCACCAGCCAACGCCTCTTCTGAGGGAACAGCGTGAAATCCATCACGGAGGCCCCGGGGACACCCCGACTCAGCTGTTAGTGAACAGGTACTTGGTGCTAATCAATACACCTCATTTCTTCAGTGCATTGATAAACCAGAGCAATTCTTCTTCGGTGTTTTAATCGCAGAAACGAAGGCGGATGTGACAGTGGCATGAGGTTAACTAAACCCAGTCTAAGGGCTGGGGGAGGGGGCTCTCGGAGCCCCCCCGATAGTACCTGCATTTGCAAAATCCACACCAGCAATCTTGCAGCACAGCGGAGAGAGACGCACGTCCCACGTATTTCCTGAGCCTTAAACAGGATACACTTCGGGCCAAACATAGGGGCTTTGTGTAATTTTTAGCATGGTGTTGCTTCAGCAAGTTGTCCTAAATCCTTTTTTGTGATTGGACATAATACTCATTCATACGGTATTTCTACCAGCCCACCAACATCTTCCTGAGGCTGGGAGGCGGGCGAATGCCAGGGTGCCGTGGTCCCATTAACCGCAGCAGCGAACGGCCCGCAGGTGCACCACTGACCCCAGGCCTGCACTTTACTGGCTTTGGGCCACCACACCGTCTTCCCTCCCTCTCTCTCCAACCTGTAAATGCATGCAGGAACCACCGTTAATTAGCGTTAGTTTCTAAACTTTTACTATGCTTTCCTGTTGCTTCACTGTGCATCATAATAAATTGCCTGTAAGGTAGAACATTCCAAGTAGCTAAATCCGGTCCAAACATGTGCTTCTGATGCTGAACACCCAGGGTAGGTGATGGCGTCGCTGCATGAGCCCGAGGCCTTCCAGTGCGGTGCCTGAGCATCCCTGCGAAAACACACAATTTAAAAGCAATTTCTGCGAACATCTGTTTAAGAGTTGGTATCGAGTAAAGTTCATGAACTCTTAGAAAGCCTGGTAATATGATGAGTGTAATTATCACACATCTGCTTGGGCTGCAAATCAATAAAGCCAATGAAAACATAAAAGTCACGCGTAAAATTTAGAACGAAAAATTAATATTTTAAAATTACATTTCCCACATATACTGGTTTGTTTTAAGAATAATTAAGGAAATCAATAGTTTCTAGCAAGTGCTTCCTGTGGCCTCCCAGTTTTAGTGCCCTCTGCACCCCTTTGTGCCACACTGTCTGCCGATTCGCACGCGGGACCTAAGTCTCTAGTACATGGTGAGCAGGGTTTGACGTGCAATTGACTTGCTTTCCATGCTGTTGCAACTAAACTTCAAGTTCTAGCCATTTTTTCCTTTTCTTTTCTTTTTTGTCCCTTTTTTTTTTATCTTCTTTGCAGAAGACCATCAAATGAGCTGTCACAATACTCGAATAATGCAAGACGCGGAGAAGGACGACAACAACAACGAGGAGTATGACAATTACGATGAGCTGGTGGCCAAGTCCTTGTTGAACCTCGGCAAGATAGCCGAGGACGCGGCCTACCGGGCCAGGACGGAGTCGGAGATGAACAGCAACACCTCCACCAGCCTGGAGGACGGCAGCGACCGGAACGAGACCCTGGGCCGGAAGAGCGAGCTGAGCCTGGACCTGGACAGCGACGTCGTGAGAGAGACGGTGGACTCCCTGAAGCTGCTGGCCCAAGGACACGGGGTGGTGCTCTCGGAGAACCTCAACGACAGAGCGTACGCAGACTCTCTGTCGCAGCAGGACGGCAGGAACATGAACTACGTGATGCTGGGGAAGCCCATGAACAACGGGCTCATGGACAAGATGGTGGAGGAGAGCGACGAGGAGGTGTGTCTGAGCAGCCTGGAGTGCCTGAGGAATCAGTGCTTCGATCTGGCCCGGAAACTGAGTGAGACGAACCCGCAGGACAGGACCCAGCCGCAGAACATGAACATCCGTCAGCACGTCCGGCAAGAGGACGACTTCGCGGGGAGGACGCCGGACAGGAACTACTCCGACATGATGAACCTGATGCGGCTCGAGGAGCAGCTGAGCCCCAGGTCTAGAACTTTCTCCAGCTGTGCAAAGGAGGACGGGTATCACGAACGAGACGACGACGCCACCTCCGTGAACTCAGACAGGTCTGAGGAGGTGTTTGACATGACCAAGGGAAACCTGACCCTCCTGGAGAAAGCCATTGCTCTGGAAACAGAGAGAGCGAAGGCCATGAGGGACAAGATGGCGATGGAGGCCGGAAGGCGGGACAATGTGCGGTCGTACGAGGAGCAGTCACCAAGACAGCTTCCCGGGGAGGAGAGGAAGCCTAAGTCCAGTGACAGCCATGTCAAAAAGCCATACTATGGTAAAGGTAATATTTCTACCTAACGTAAGTTGCCCCATGAGGACAGGAGCTAGGGTGAACGATGCCGATGATAGTCTACACATGACGTGGGCATCACACTAAGTCACTAATGCAAATCTCTTAGAGCTGGTTACAGAATCACAGTTTGTGTTTCTGGAGAGCCAATAAAATATTTGTCTGGGAAAGGCACAAAGCATCTCAATGTCCTATGATCAGAGCAGATGAGGAACATGATATCTCAGCAGGAGACGCTTGCCTTGGAAAGATAGGGCTAGTGCGCAAACATGTCATGTGATAGAAAACACGAGAATGAGCCTGTGTTCTTACAGATGAACCACAGTCCGTGTGGAAGGGCAAGGGCTTGCACAAAAATTAGCCAATCAGGGATGAAACACATATTTTATCTATTAGACTGGGTAGGTGGCATCATGATTTATAAAATTATCACCAAAGGACAGTTATTGACGAACCCCCCCCCCAGAAAACATCCCTGATAGAAATTGAACAGTAACAGAGTGACCGATAACATAAGACAAGGGCGATGACTGCACATTAATTATCCTAAGATAGCAAGTAATGGGAGCCATTTCTTATGCAAGCCATGGTGTGTCCCAAGCTGAGATCAATAGTAATTTCTTTACTATATTCATTCCTACGCACTGATTCCATTCCATTTTGGAAACAGTTATGGCGCCTACTTTATGTTAAAATACTCAGAACCATCCAACATGAGACTTTTAGCAGATTCTCATTTATGAAATGCAGGGGCCCATATTTGCATCTGTGTTTGTATTTCAACATACACATATATGGTCAGTACATCTACGAAGTGTATGAACATACACTGAGTGAATGACTGACCCCATGTTTGCAATAAGAACCGTGTCCACTTGTGATACGAGCTGGTTATGATTTAACCCCGTGTGGAAACTGGAGGCTGTGGTTAGCTCGGTTACAAGAACTACATCAGAAGGAGTTTCAAAAATGAAATTAGTAATTCCTTAAATCCTTCCATATTAGTACCAAAAAAGATCTTCTGTCTTACATTGTTTTCTATTCCTTATAAAGACTTGAGTTTCCTCACTGTGGATCTGATGATGAGGTTCAGGAATTTGGTTTGAAAATCAGTTGCTATGGAAACCTCGAACAATCAGAGAACCTGTTTCTTCTGTTACGACCGAGGTGTGTAGTCTCCTCTCAATGTGTGCACTTGCTATAACCAAGCCCAGCAGAGACAAACCTCAGCCAGAGGCCCGTCGGGGTCTCGATCTGCAGGGGCCTGAGCGCTGACCGCCGTTTCGGACGGGAGGTGAAGGGAGACCCCTGGGAGGAGCGGCATAGAGGAAGGGGTCGTTTCCTAAAGGCGACAGGGTCTAGCCCAGCGGAGCATCAGGCTTGCTTTGGGTGCAGTGGAGATGATGAAACAGCATGGATGCTCATAACTGTCGTGCAATCTGGCAGAACGCTTTAGCTGGATAGTTGAGAATCCTATAGGAACAAACATTTTTAGGAAGAAATAGTGTCCTTTCTCACGGGTGGCTCAGTTGGACAAATCCACGTTGGGCTTCCGTGTTAGAGGTCCGTAGGGCGGGTTTCACGGTGGAGCGGGCATCGGGGAATGCAGCAAGGGCCTTGGGGAGCGTGTGGGCTCGCTTGGCATCGCAGACGCCATGCCGCCCTGGCTTCTTGCCTTCCGTGCTTCCCTTACGCCCAGCAGCTTTCTGTAGATTCCTACTCGTTTTGCTTTGTTATTGCTATTTGGTTTTATTTTGTTTCTTGCAAGGAATGGAATTCAAACCGCTTGCTTCCCTTCAGTAAATGGGGCAGGGGTAGAAACGAACAGCAAAACCTGAGATGCGCTTTTCCCTGAAATGGGGGGAGGGCTGGGGTGTGGACCTTCCAAATGAGTCAGGAAGCATTGACTCCTCCTCTACGAGTCTCTGTAGATTTCTTCCTCTGAGCAAAGCTCCTCCATTTCATATGTGTGCTCCAGCTCATTCCCAGGTTCTTCTCAGGATATCCGTAGGTATGTTCAGAACCAATTAAATAAAACCAAGCAGGGACACCAGAGTGGGCCAAGGAGACAAATGCCCTCCTTATTAAAAAAAAAAAAAAAAAAATACATCCTGTGACTTTTCACCAACACGGCCAATGGACAATTCCTACAACCTCATAGCATACCAATAATCTTCATTTCAAGCTTCGTTGTTATTTTATTGTACCAATTCTCATTTGTACACGATCTCCTCAAAATGATTTAAATTATAAATGAGTAACCTTTCCAAAATCTTGAGCTAAGACAAAAGACGTCCATCAGGAAACTCCTCTATCTTTCTTCTCAAACATCCACTTGGAAGGGAGGGGAGCAAGCTAAATTCAGTGCACAGTTTTTTTTTCTAGACATTCTTGCAGGGTTTTCAGTTGAATTACTGGTCTGTTTGCTTGCTTGGTTGCTTTCTGTTTGCTTGAATGTTTACCTTCAAGATGAATTGGGATTTCCGGAACCCAGCATGCAAGGGGAGGGGATGGCGGAGGCAAGCGGCATCGAGAGGAGATTATACCCTTGTGTCCTCCAGAACTGAAATTGTTTGAGCCACTTGTTTCTATACAGATCTGCACTTAACTTCAGAACCCTTTGGAAATCTGCGATATAATATAACTTGTTAGGAAATTTGTAAGTGTACTAATGAAGAAGAGTCACTTAATGATGAATAATAGTTACGATTTAGGGTTTTGTTTTGTTTTTTACCTTTTAAACGCTATTTACATTTAGCTTATAATCTTCAATAATGAATATTTTCCTGTGAAACTGTTACTTACTGTTCTATATTTACATTAATTAAATCATACTAATATTATCATGAAACTACCCAAAAGGCAATAAAATGCTAGGCTTTTTGATTGCATGTGTAAGAGAAGCCCCAGTAAGATATTTAGAAATGAAAGCTGCAACAACAGAATATCAGGTTGTCTTTGGAGACTCTTAACAGCTGTATCCAGGGTATGCGCCTCAAGCAGGGCACTAATTCACAGACCCAGGACCTGAAAGATGAATTACCTAGAATAAAATCCTAGCTAAAAAAAAGAAAGGGGGGTGAGTTTTTTTATATAAACATAAAATTGCTTATCTATTCCTGTGAGCCCTTTGTCTATTTCAAGTTCACAGGCAAGATTTAAGAAGAAAGTCCATAAGAGTTCAAAAAACTTGAACCAAACATACATTTTCTCACTGTCACGATTGGCCTGGGTAATGAGACATCGATAGGAGAGTGTTACACCCCTAAGGAAACGTTAACCTCACCCTCCCTGGACCAAACCAGCGTAGTCACTGTCTGTTGATGATGTGTGCAACTGGTTTTCAAAAACTGACTCAAAAATAATTTTTTGCCCACTTTCATTACTACTCAGTCTGAGCTTTATCTTAGAAATATCTTCTGGAGCTATTTTCTGCACACTGATGAACTGTGGTCAATTCTGGATATAGAAATAATTTTACCAACAATAGCATTGCATTTCTGGCATTTGGCATTCAAGTGTTGACCAAAGGTCTGCTCTGCTCCTTCCTCAACTGGGGTTGCAGAGAGCCAACCAGGGTGTATAAAACCATTACCTCTTGATTTTGTGTATGCATGCACAGCATCGTAAGATCCTTCCTCTGCTTCCAAGTACAGATGAAGAAATCGAGACAAACGGTTGCTCCAGCAGCTTCTGAAACTTTTTTTTTTTTTTTAATTGCCCATCTCCCCTGTCGGGTGGGATTTTCACCATTCTGGTCATTTGCTTACAGTGCCTTCTAAGAGTTCAGCTTATTTTCAGAAAATCTCTGAATCGGTGGGCTGTGGAGCAGTGTCGCAAGATGACAACCTCCAACAGCAGTAAAATTTTGCACCTAAGAATGTAAACGATTCGAGCACCCAATGAGACAGAAACTGTCGAATGGCAGGGTGTTCGAACAGCATCATGCTCCCTGGTTGAATTTCACAGAGTGAATGTTGAAGATCGTCGAGTGGTCTGGCTCTCTGAGAAGGTCACTGTCTCATCATTATTTACGTTGATTTCTTTGAGCAACACAGCTTATCATGTAACACACGGGAAAATAATTAATCATGAGCTAAGGCAGGGAGAGTCTTTTTTTTTCTCCTACCAGCAAAGAAAGTAAAATATTTTATGATTCATGATTACGATGTTTAAGGTCAAAAAATCACCCAAAACCAAAGAAGTACCTACGCAAGTCTATGTCACAGCCTGTCCCCTGACACCTGCTTTTTTTCTTTATTTATCAAGGTCTCTTCAGGTTGTTAATTAATCACCTTTGTCTTGGATGGGTAAAAAATTCATTCTCTTGACACCTGTTGTCGCTTTTAGATCCCTCGAGAGCAGAAAAGAAAGAGAGCAAGTGTCCCACCCCGGGGTGTGATGGAACCGGCCACGTAACCGGGCTTTATCCACATCACCGCAGTCTGTCCGGATGCCCGCACAAAGATAGGGTCCCTCCGGAAAGTAAGTCCGTGTTCTGCCAATGCCCGTGGGGGCCCGCACGCCCACGGCCCTGTCTGTGTCAGCCATGTGCCTCTGTCATTCCACGTCAGTGCAACCCAACCTTGAACCTCGTCTCCCCGCCCCTCCTCGTCCTGAGCAGCCTGCTCGGGCTGCCCACGCCACTCCCGCCCGATGGCCCGGGACGGCAGCCCGCCCCCCAGCGCTGCTTCCTGCAGCGGACAGGCTGGGGCTCCGTTCCCGCTTTCATTTCTGACCTGCTGGGGACCTCGGGCAAGTCACTCGTCCCCTCATCTCTCACAAATCATACAAGAGACCTCAGAGGGTCTCTACCCGCCCCTGCAGAGCTGAACTCCCATGAATCCCCAAGAGAAAGGTCCTTGAGCCTCCTCTTGCCCAGTGATCTAGACTTCTGTATGGATGAGCTGCTACCTGTAGTTGTATTTGATCCCATTTCGCTTGCAAAGTCTGCTTCATGTCACGGCTGTCCCAACATTTCCACACAAACAAACCTTAGTTTAAATCGGGTGGGTCTAGATCAAAAGCATTCTTTTAGTTAGGTTCTGAGAATACACGATTTATTATGAACACAACCACATTTATTTTGAAACTGAAATGACGTACACGTCTTTTATTTATCTTTTTCTCAGCACATAAAGTTTGCCAGCTATTTAGATACAATTAGTATTGATTGCTCAGGGGAAAAGGCACACTTTCAGAAATGACAAGATGAGTCTAAGGTCTTGATTTTGAGCCTAAGGTATGTCGAGGATTTTCCTCGTGAACTGAGACACAATTTCTAGTAGGCAAAAAGGAATAGCTTGGCTGAGATGGTCAGGATGACCAGGTGATTGTTGAGAGGAGTTTCGGAGGGTTGTCCCACCAAAATGGCTAACTTTGGAGTTCTTGAGGCGCAAATCTGTCAGAAAAAGAGAGGTTCCTAGCTGTAGCTGAGGCTTCGAAACAGGTTTAGCTGAACATTTTCAGATGAAGTATATTTAGAAGCTGTTGTGCCGCCAGGTTTTCGAATGGCTACTGAAGATAAGAAACCCGTGTTTCTGGTAACTGCCGTGTGAACAGGCGTGCAGAGTACGGAGGGGAACGCGTCTGAGTGCATGGCCGTGCCCGTGTGTTACATGAGCGGGAGCCAGCATGGTCCCAACGCAACAGCTTCCGCGTCCGAGCGCCGGCCGCTCCGCCTTCACCGGCCCGCGCAGCCTCCCTCACTCCCCAGCGGGCCCAGCGGGGCACCACCGGCCCCGGTTCCCCCACAAGGAAAGCGGGGAGCAGAAGGCCTCACCCCCTCCTCCCCGGGCTCAGCTCGGTGCCTGGCAAACTGAAGACGCTCCATGTCTGCCAACCACCGTGGGCAGGTACCGGCTTGCCCGAGCGGAGAGCGGAGCCCAGATCTCAGGCCCCATCTGCCCGAATCCCGAGCCTGTCCCTTTGCCCTGGGCCCGGCTTGCTGCTCCGGTCTCGGTCGGCGCGGACCGGCCACTCTGCGCCCTGAGGCGTGAGGACCGGCACTGACCTCTTAGGGAGAGCTTCCTGATGCAGTTTCTCTAGAAGGCACACGTTTTCGCCTCCCGAGTAGAAAATCCGTTCCTTTACCTGGCTGAGGAATTCTCCCGACTCCTTATTTTCACAGGAAAAGTCTACATGTAGTAGAAAGAGGGGCTGTGCTCCCACAGACCGGGGGTCAGCCCGCACCTGGGCTCACCTTCGCCCAGAGGAGGTGGGAGGTCCACTCAACACCAGTCTTGAGACCAACTTCCAGAGCACCTACAGAAAGCCGTTTCTAAATACTTACATGTAGTTCTTTATAGTACGTAAGAATTTTTTTTTTTAAAGATTTTATTTATTTATTTGACAGAGAGAGATCACAAGTAGGCAGACAGGCAGGCAGAGGGAGAGGGAGAAGCAGGCTCCCCGCTGAGCAAGGAGCCCGAT